GGAGTTTCGGCGAACGCTCATATGCGCGTCCAAAATTTCTTTCGTTTCCAGCGCGCGCCATGCCAGATTTCAGTAGTTGCGATAAGTGATGTGTTGGTTCTTGGAGCAAGGTTGTCTTAGAGCTTCAAATCCTCAGGCTTTGGTCGCCTGGGGTTGGAGGGAGGTAGGTACGGGCTTTATTTAGGGTTTGGGGTTCAATTTTTACAGATTCTGTTGCTCGCATACCTTTGCTACATGGACATGGGACAGGTTGTGGGGGAGAGGGTTTCAGAGTTGTTGTGGATGACGGGGGTCAGAGGGTCCAGGGCCATAACTTGGCGCCGGAGGGCGTAGGGGGGGCGCTGCGCGGGCAAGTTCACAGGCAGCAATGGCTTCTACAGTTATGTAGAACGCGTTCGAGCGCGATTCGGCACAGTTCTGCATATCAAAGCATGGTTCATGGAGACCGAAAGACAGAGACATTGGATGGTTCTGACTCCGCCACAAGAGCTAACAGGCTCAGACCCACAGCCCGCGTAGTGTGGTGAGGGTGGTGCAGATTGTGGAATTGGTGGGGCTGATTTCGTGCTTCTGCGGCACCACAAAGGCCATCGCCTCGGACCCTGACTGCATCCCAGTTTGGTGTGTGGACACCTGAACTTCCCATTTTGCCTTCTGCATTTCAGCAATTTCAGCACATGCGTATTCGCTCTGTCTCCTTGCGCTGAGGGCGTAGGCCAGAACTACGCCTCCATCCACTAGGACATCATTCAGTGCAGACTCCGCTAGGGCGGCACCCCTAACTAGCTCCTTCACTACGTTGACACTTAACAACTACCACCTCCACTAGGACGATACCCTTAGCAACACGACCATTAGGCAGCTGCGGCGATACCTATAACGACTGCATCCAGGGGAGCACCATTCTTGCAGCTTTGTACTAGTCTCGAAGCATCTTCATCAGTAAGACGCTGGGTGCCGGAGCTCTACTAGACAGGCTCGAGTTCCTGCGCGGCCCTATGTGTATTATCAGGGTTAGTACACTGCATGTCCTTGCAAAGCATCTTGCATGCATGGCCACTTTCCTTCCACATCCAAGAGTTTCAGGAAAGACTTACTGGTATGACCTTAACAGATGTGGAGCTTTCGAACTTTTCCGCCGTCGGCGTCAAAAAGGATGTTCGAACTGGAGTGCGCCATTGCGCAAACCTCACAGCATGGAATAGTGCCGCCTCACACCACTTCCGACTGTCTCCGATAGTTTCTTTGTTTTCGCGGTTTCTCTTAGTTGGTGGTAGCCTGTCTTTGTCAGTTGTTCATGGCCGTTTCTTCTAAGCTGGTCCCGTGCGGTGCTTTTCCCCGTAAGCTGTCGCTGCCCATGTCGTGTCGTCCACCTGTTTATCTATCTCTTGTGTCTGCCTTATCCAGGTCCGTCAGTGCTTATCGGTTGCTGTGTGGATCTGTATCTGGTTGCCGTTTTCTGGTACTGTGAGTCTGTTTGCCTGTTAACCGGCTCGCTGTCTATCCTTAGCTGCTGGGTCGAGTCTAGTCACTCGTATCAGTGTCGTTTTGTTTGCAACTGTTGTCGCTTTGGACTAGTCTGTCCCCATGGCCTACCTTTGCAGCAATCGGACATATGTGATGTTTTTCCTCGTCAGCTTGATGACGAGCTTGGTCGAACTGCGGTCTTTGGATGCCCTCGTGTTGTTTAGGGCCTGGGATGGTGACCCCTGGAGGCCGACAAGGCTAGGGCCTGACCTGCTCATTTGATCTCACTTGAGCATTTCCAACCCTGCCACGTGCACGTCAGACCCTCTGCAAAAGCAATTCCGCAGACTTTACTCATTATTAACAAACAAACTCAGCCATGACAAACTGAAAGCTCATCAATAACAAGGTTGATGTTATGCGTGGCCATGTCTAGCCCTAGACAACGAAAAACAGGAGAACATCCAAAAGCATTGGCAAGGCAATCAAATTAAGCTGAAGCCTAAACTCACCCGAAGAAGCCTTGAACCCAAAAGCTGAAGAACCCCAAGCCAGAGCCAAAACATGTAACGAAACCAAAGAACCTTATGTACTGTACCTCGGCCGTAACAAATGCCCGCCATCTTTGACCCCCAAAGCCCTAAACACTGACCCTCACCTTAGGTCCTCACACTGGATATCCCTAACCTCATATGCCATAGACTCACCCCACCAACCCTCAACGACGACCCTGACCCAAACATCCGAGGCCTCCAACACTACACCCTTAAGCCAAAACCCTGAATCATGTAAACCTGACCCTTACGACCCCATACCCTGGCCCAAGGACCCTAAAACGACGGTCAACCCTGACCCTAAAACCCCTGAACCCAACCCTAGCCCTACAACGCCCCAGCAGAAGCCCAGAATTTTTTGTTCGCCTTTTGAATTTGAAGGAATTTTAAGGACAACGCTGAAGACGGCTATTTGCAAGTCTTGTGCATCCCCATATTATGCCTGTAGAATCTTATAAGATCCGCTGCATCCCGCAACACCACAGGCAACGCCGGGCAATTCAGACAAATCCCCAGCAGATCTCTGCAAGCCTTGGAGCCCAACAAATTCTCTGTGACCCAAAAGAACATTAATGAACTCCATACTATGTGGTCAGCGTTCAAAAAAACATGCACAAAATTTATAAGTAAAGGAGACACGAACCTTAGATGGGATCAAATTTTAGTCTTCGTTATGAGGCGGCCCCCGACGAGGATCTGGCAAAACCCCTTAGAGGCGCTAGCATAGCGCTAGCCTGGCGCTAGCATTTATGTCATGGTCGACTCTAAAAGAGGTAACGATGGTAGATGTGCCACTCTTGCAGGGAAGAGAAGCAAGAATCCAAGCCGTATGTACCAAAGCTATAAAGTCATTTTGGGGATATTGCATGTATGGGAAGAAGCTGGAGTGGTAGTATCGGTATCGATGGTGTTGCATACTTGTGCAAAAAAAGGAGGTGTGATCCTTACCTGGGTACGAAACTTGAAGAAGCACAGCTGCACTGCTACTTGGAATCATGTGCTTGTGTTGCTGCAACTACTACTACGTCTGGCGCAATTCGCCAGCACGACGATCA